TGCAGTGAATATGTAAAACACTGTATTTAAAAGCTTTTCAAAATTATTGAGAGACTTGTAAATGTATGGGTAGCAGTCATTCACTTGTCTATCCACAATTTAGTTTCAGCAAGTTAACATCCTTATAAATATTGTTCTGTAACAATATACACAGACTGATGAAAAATTGAAACTTGAACAAAATTCACACGTATTAAAAAGCATGCATACGCTGGTCGATGTCCACACTTTACAAGATAACTTGCTTGAATATATATTGATCAATATACAAACTTAGACGATAAGTTCAAAGTTGAGTGAAATCCATGCATAATTAATTAGCATACTGTACTCTGATTGGTCAATGGTTTTTGCCAAGTAACTTTGTCAGATAAGGCAAGATTCTGAAGAAACTTGGTTGATATCTTATTCAACAACAAAGGCAAAGTTCAAAGATGAACACAATCTGTGCATAATCTATTTAATGGTTTAAAATAATCAGGTATTGGTCAAAGGGGTAAATGCCAGTTTCAGTTTTTAATGTTCTATGAAATACATTGTACTGACAAAGGGAAGCAATTCCTAATTCCTATGCAAATTAATTATCCAAAGGTTTAAAATGATATATTCTAGAGGAAACTTGGTACCCCTCTTCTGGCAAACCTATAAAGATATACTGTGCACACAAGAAGAATAACTTCACAGTGGTACACTTTTACATAAAACTATGATTCATAACAAATTAACAGTAAATCCTTCTGTACAATATGATGAGAACTTCGTCTTTATTTTCTTCTCCATTTCAAAAATAATATATATATGTCTTTTGCCTTAGCTTTCAGTACTTTCAGTACTTTGATTATCATCCGCTTTCACCGAAACGGGGTATATTAATTTGGGTTTGTCCGCCTGTCTGTCTGTCTGTCACGCTTCGTTTCCGTGCAATAACTACAACAAAGGTTAACCGATTTTCTTCAAACTTGGTTACAGGGTTAAATGTCTTAAGGGCTCGGCCAAGTTGATGACCACTTTCAGCAGACCCCATTTGGCGGAGTTATGGCCCCTTGAATAACGAAAAACATCATTATCTGCTGTTTCTGTTCATTAACTCTTGCAAATATTATCCGATTGTCTTCAAACTTAGTAACAGGGTTTAAAACATTAAGGGCTCGGCCAAGTTTGACAACCACTTTAATCGGACTCCAATTGGCAGTGTTATGGCCCCTTGATTAACGAAAAACGTCATTATCTGCAGTTTCCGCTTAATAACTCTAGCAAATATTAGCCATATTCCTAATAATTTGTGCATATTAACGGATAATGTTTAAACCTAACTTCAATAATGTTAACCTACAATATGTCTTGCAAGCGGGGGATATATATTCCACAAATTTGCTTGTTTATTGTCGTTATTGTTCCGAACAATGCCACACACCAAAAAATGGAAAATAATAAAATTGACGAAAACTCAATTTTTGGGTATTTTTTCAAAAATCTCCCCAATCTATCGCAATGCTTAGATTTACATAGTTGCAACTGTACATAGTAACATAACCATTTTGTGAATTTTCAATAAATTCTGCTGGTTAATTGCGAAAGTATGGAGCCTCCTTAATACAATCCTCACTATTCCAGCCAGTGCTTCTAAACACCAGATTTCCTCGTTGCTATTCCAAAGTGATCCATCAATCTAATCATTTCACAATCCTGTCACCTGTGATGAGGATTTAATATTTGTTGTGGCTGAAAATCCGCTTTTTCTCCGTAATAGAGTGACCACTTTCTGGCTATTCTTTGGTTTAATTTTATGATTTGAAACTTATTTATTTACAGCTGCTGCAGCAGCCGAGATGGCCTACCACAACACACGTCCACCAATAGCAGTGACCTTCCCTAAAGCACTAGTAGCCATCCTCCAGCGCGGCTGGAATGCCTCGGCAGAGGTGGGTATTGAGTTCATTGATAAAACTGATCATATACATTTATTAGGGTTGTCAACAGTTAACTGGTGAACTGGCTACCAAATCAGTAACGGAGTAGTCAGATGTTTTTGGCAATAAAAACAACGCTCAGGCTGACCTGTCAAGATGTTTTTGTATTTGATGGTAAGGATTGACAAAGAGATGCCGATCAAACCATAAAAAGTCTGAACAGAGTTTAAAAGGGAGCAAGAATTCAAAGTTCTGAAATGCCAACATTGCGAGGTGGAACTCGCTTTTAAGGGTTGAAAATAATCTTAAGGAGTACGCAATTGAATGGTAACAGTGAAACATAAATAGAATTGAAGAGAAATAACTTGTGTTCTACTTTATGCTGACCGCTGTTGTCAATAAAATATGCTTATATATTTCCTGCGTTCAGGTGTTGAGAGCTTGGTATACGTGAGTAAGGTGTGTAAATTGATTTTGAATGGAAAATTTGCTAAATACAACGTAGTTATTGTCGGCTATTGTTTGATTACCAAACTGGCCGATTAACTGGTAACTCAGTCAGAAGATTACTAAAATTCATCCAGTTTGACAACACTAAAATTTATTAATTGACACAATAATTTAAGTAAGTTGGATCAATATATGAGGAAAAATATTTTTTGATTGTAGGATAGGCCCGAATTTAAAGAAATTGTGATTATTCTGGAGGAGTGTAAACAGTCCCAAGGCGTCGGGCTCCTCACCAACTCTCAAATCAGTGTCTCCCTCGTGTCCCGACTCTCACCAATCAGAGACGAAGAGGAAGGAGAGGAAGGTCGTGACACCCCACCCCTGGCTGGTCATGTGACAGCACTCAGGACACACTGGGAACTTGAGGCCACAAGACACAGGTAAGATAGTACACCACCCATACTTGGCCATCCATGTCAGTATTAAGGAAGGGGGGTAACTCTAGCTGCTTCCCAATGTACCATTTGGGCCAGAAACAGACATATGGAAAATTGGAGACAAACAAAACTGATACTTGCAGACTTAAAAAATCAAACCTTTTTATTTTGTATCAATTATGAAACAACTGTATCAACAAGAGTGAGTTATACAAGTTGATTTGGATGGAAGTATGTTGGGATCATAATGTGGGAGGAAACATGGTCAGTCAGGTGACTCCATACTTTTTCACGTCTGAATGAGGAATCAAACTCTTACTGACTCTGTAAAAGGCGAATACAATAACCTTTTGTCTTTGTTAATAATACTTTCTGTTGTGTTTATTTTGGCAGTGCTGTTCCAGATGACGAGCTCAGACGTCGCCTTCAGTATCCACAGATAGACAAGAATGGTAAGTGACGAAGGAAACAGAATGGTAAGTGATTGAGGAAACAGAATGGTAAGTGATGAGGGAAACAGAATAGTAAGGGACGCAGAAAACATTCTGTAGTACCACACATAGACAAGAATGGTTAGTGACGAAGGAAACAGAATGGTAAGTGACGAGGGAAACAGAATAGTAAGTGACGCAGAAAACATTCCGTAGTACCACAGATAGACAAGAATGGTAAGTGACAGAGGAAACATAATGGTAAGTGACGAGGGAAACAGAATAGTAAGGGACGCAGAAAACATTCTGTAGTACCACAGATAGACAAGAAGGGTAAGTGACAGAGGAAACATTCTGTCGTACCACAGATGGACGAGAATGATAAGTGACGTAGGAGACATTCTGTAGTACCACAGATAGACAAGAATGGCAAGTGACAGAGGAAACATTCTGTCGTACCACAGATAAACAAGAATGGTAAGTGACTGAGGAAACACTCTGTAGTACCACAGATAGACAAGAATGATACGTGACGGAGGAAACATTCCGTAGTACCACAGATAGACAAGAATGATACGTGACGGAGGAAACATTCCGTAGTACCACAGATAGACAAGAAGGGTAAGTGACAGAGGAAACATTCTGTAGTGCCACAGATGGACGAGAATGATAAGGGACGGAGGAGACATTCTGTAGTACCCCAGATAGACAAGAATGGTAATTGACTGAGAAAACATTCCGTAGTACCACAGATAGACAAGAATGGTAATTGACTGAGAAAACATTCTGTAGTACCACAGATAGACAATAATGGTAAGTGACTGAGAAAACATTCCGTAGTACCACAGATAGACAAGAAGGGTAAGTGACAGAGGAAACATTCTGTAGTGCCACAGATGGACGAGAATGATAAGTGACGTAGGAGACATTCTGTAGTACCACAGATGGAGGAGAATGATAAGTGACGGAGGAGGCATTCTGTAGTACCACAGATAGACAAGAAGGGTAAGTGACAGAGGAAACATTCTGTCGTACCACAGATAAACAAGAATGGTAAGTGACTGAGGGGACATTCTGTAGTACCACAGATAGACAAGAAGGGTAAGTGACAGAGGAAACATTCTGTAGTGCCACAGATGGACGAGAATGATAAGTGACGAAGGAGACATTCTGTAGTACCACAGATAGACAAGAATGATAAGTGACGGAGGAAACATTCCGTAGTACCACAGATAGACAAGAAGGGTAAGTGACAGAGGAAACATTCTGTCGTACCACAGATGGACGAGAATGACAAGTGACGGAGGAGACATTCTGTAAGACAAGAATGGTAAGTGACTGAATGGTAAGTGACTGAGAAAACATTCCATAGTACCACAGATAGACAAGAATGGTAATTGACTGAGAAAACATTCTGTAGTACCACAGATGGACAGTAGTACCACAGATAGACAAGAAGGGTAAGTGACAGAGGAAACATTCTGTCGTACCACAGATAAACAAGAATGGTAAGTGACTGAGGGGACATTCTGTAGTACCACAGATACACAAGAATGGTAAGTGACTGAGGAAACACTCTGTAGTACCACAGATAGACAAGAAGGGTAAGTGACAGAGGAAACATTCTGTAGTACCACAGAAAGACAAGAATGGTAAGTGACTGAGAAAACATTCCGTAGTACCACAGATAGACAAGAATGATACGTGACGGAGGAAACATTCCGTAGTACCACAGATAGACAAGAATGGTAGTAGACTGAGAAAACATTCCGTAGTACCACAGATAGACAAGAATGATAAGTGACGGAGGAGACATTCTGTAGTACCACAGATAGACAAGAATGGTAAGTGACAGAGGAAACATTCTGTAGTACCACAGATGGACGAGAATGATAAGTGACGGAGGAGACATTCTGTAGTACCACAGATAGACAAGAATGGTAAGTGACTGAGGAAACATTCTGTAGTACCACAGATGGACAAGAATGGTAAGTGACGGAGGAAACATTCTGTAGTACCACAGATAGACAAGAATGGTAAGTGACTGAGGGAACATTCTATAGTACCACAGATAGACAAGAATGGTAAGTGACTGAGGAAACATTCCGTAGTACCACTGATGGACAAGAATGGTAAGTGACTGAGGAGACATTCAATAGTACCACAGATAGACAAATGGTAAGTGACTGAGGAGACATTCCATAGTACCACAGATAGACAAGAATGGTAAGTGACAGAGGAAACAGAATGGTAAGTGACTGAGGAGACATTCTGTAGTACCACAGATGGACAAGAATGGTAAGTGACGGAGGAAACATTCTGTAGTACCACAGATAAACAAGAATGGTAAGTGACTGAGGAAACATTCTGTAGTACCACAGATGGACAAGAATGGTAAGGGATGGAGGAAACATTCTGTAGTACCACAGATAGATAAGAATGGTAAGTGACTGAGGAGACATTCCATAGTACCACAGATAGACAAGAATGGTAAGTGACTGAGGAGACATTCCATAGTACCACAGATGGACAAGAATGGTAAGTGATGGAGGAAACATTCTGTAGTACCACAGATAGACAAGAATGGTAAGTGACTGAGGAAACATTCTGTAGTACCACAGATAGACAAGAATGGAAAGGGACTGAGGAGACATTCCATAGTACCACAGATAGACAAGAATGGTAAGTGACAGAGGAAACAGAATGGTAAGTGACTGAGGAGACATTCCATAGTACCACAGATAGACAAGAATGGTAAGTGACTGAGAAGACATTCTGCAACAGATCGTTTTATCTAGGTTGTTTAGCTGTTAAAGTATCATTGCAGTGTATAAAGTGTATTGTAGTCTTTGTCTCAAATTGTCTTGTAGTGTTGAAATGCTTGTGATTTTCGCCTTAAGTGTGTAAGTGCAAGAATAATTTTCACTTCATAGTACTCTGTGATGTAGGCTATGTGTCAGACCTCCTGAGTACACTATTTCTCTGTTTTGTAGACTATTTATCAGACCCCCTGAGTACACTATTTCTCTGTGTTGTAGGCTATGTGTCAGACCCCTGAGTACATTATTTCTCTGTGTTGTAGGTTATGTGTCAGACCCCCAGATTACACTATTTCTCTGTGTTGTAGGTTATGTATCAGACCCCCTGAGTACACTATAAACCTGCATTGTAGGCTATGTGTCAGACCCTCTGAGTACACTATTTATCAGTGTTGTTGGTTATGTGTCAGACCCCCTGAGTACACTATAAACCTGCATTGTAGGCTATGTGTCAGACCCCCTGAGTACACTATTTATCTGTGTTGTAGGTTATGTGTCAGACCCCCTGAGTACACTATATATCTGTGTTGTAGGTTATGTGTCAGACCCCCAGAGTACATTATTTCTCTGTGTTGTAGGCTATGTGTCAGATCCCCTGAGTACACTATTTCTCTAGGTTGTAGGTTATGTATCAGACCCCCTGAGTATACTATAAACCTGCATTGTAGGCTATGTGTCAGACTCCCTGAGTACACTATAAACTTGCATTGTAGGCTATGTGCCAGACCCCCTGAGTACACTATTTCTCTGTGTTGTAGGTTATGTGTCAGACCCCCTGAGTACACTATAAACCTGCATTGTAGGCTATGTGTCAGACCCCCTGAGTACACAATATATCTGTATTGTAGATTATGTGTCAAGACACCCTGAGTACATTATTTCTCTGTGTTGTAGGTTATGTATCAGACCCCCTAAGTACACTATATATCTGTATTGTAGGCTATGTGTCAGATCCCCTAAGTACACTATATATCTGTATTGTAGGTTATGTGTCAGACCCCCTGAGTACACTATTTCTCTGTATTGTAGGTTTTGTGTTAGACCCCCTAAGTACACTATATATCTGTGTTGTAGGTTATGTGTCAGACCCCCTGAGTACACTATATCTGTGTTGTAGGCTAGGTGTCAGACCCCCTGAGGACACTATATATCTGTATTGTAGGCTATGTGTCAGACCCCCTAAGTACACTATTTCTCTGTGTTGTAGGCTATGTGTCAGACCCCCTGAGTACCCTATTTCTCTGTGTTGTAGGTTATGTGTCAGACCCCCAGAGTACATTATTTCTCTGTGTTGTAGGCTATGTGTCAGACCCCCTGAGTACCCTATTTCTCTGTGTTGTAGGTTATGTGTCAGACCCCCTGAGTGCACTATTTCCCTGTGTTGTAGGTTATGTTTCAGACCCCCTAAGTACACTATTTCTCTGTGTTGTAGGCTATGTGTCAGACCCCCTGAGTACCCTATTTCTCTGTGTTGTAGGTTATGTGTCAGACCCCCAGAGTACATTATTTCTCTGTGTTGTAGGCTATGTGTCAGACCCCCTGAGTACCCTATTTCTCTGTGCTGTAGGTTGTGTGTCAGACCCCCTGAGTACCCTATTTCTCTGTGCTGTAGGTTGTGTGTCAGACCCCCTGAGTACCCTATTTCTCTGTGTTGTAGGTTATGTGTCATACCCCCTGAGTACTCTATTTCTCTGTGTTGTAGGTTATGTGTCAGACCCCCTGAGTACACTATATATCTGTATTGTAGGCTATGTGTCAGACCCCCTAAATACACTATTTCTCTGTGTTGTAGGTTGTGTGTCAGACCCCCTGAGTACACTATTTCTCTGTGCTGTAGGTTATGTGTCAGACCCCCTGAGTACACTATTTCTCTGTATTGTAGGTTATGTGTCATACCCCCTGAGTACACTATTTCTCTGTGTTGTAGGTTATGTGTCATACCCCCTGAGTACACTACATGTATGTCTCTGTGTTGTAGGTTATGTGTCAGCCCCCCTGAGGACACTATATATCTGTGTTGTAGGTTATGTGTCAGACCCCCTGGGTACACTATATATCTGTATTGTAGGTTATGTGTCAGACCCCCTGAGTACACTATTTCTCTGTGTTGTAGGTTATGTGTCAGACCCCCTGAGTACACTACAGATCCCAGTGACTATTGCCCCACCAGCAGACCCGCTGCCCAAACTGGAGGTGGACTCTCCCTTTACACAACCTGTGGTCAACAACCTCAGTAATGGCTTCCGGTCACAGTCCCCAGCCAGCAGTTCATCCTCCCTTACTGACATCACTTCCTGACCCACTGGGCATGCCGAGAACTCTCACCATTGTGGGAAATAGTCAGCATTTCATCAAACAAGGCAATGACTTACAGATGACCTTGCAACAGAGGTCAAATGAAAAGGTGGTTTTAACTGTGTGTGAATTCTGAGGTTAAATCCACATAAATTATCTAAACTATGAACATCTAGCAATGATCACAACCATGTCAGGTTGTACTAGTGGGTGAACTTTCAACAGACTACATCATAGAATTGTATTTTGATGATGTGACTTTTCCGTCCAGAGAATATAAAATTAATGTAATTTGAATTAATTTTAAAAATGTTCATCCTGACCTGTACTCATCATGACCCTGTCTGGTTGTTGTTTCAGTGATCAACTTTGATCCTTGTACAGATGTGTGATTCAGCTATCTTTGAAACTCAGACATTTTTACTGAATTTTTAGGCAAATCGTGTCCAATTATTTATACTTGTTTTCATTGATGTCATCATGACCCTGTGTTGTTGTTGTGTCTGTCCCCAGATGTTCTACAGTCTATAGTGTGTCATAATGTATTACATGTTAATATCACATTTTGGTGCTTATTAGTCCCCCACTGCTTCGGGGGGGTGGGGGGTCTGCACTCGTCTCTGTCCAAAGAGTTTCTCCAGGGCACTCTATATTATTTCACCTTGAGTAAACAGATTTGGTATTGGTATGCGAGTACATCATGGCTTGTTAGAGTGTCAAGTACAAAAACCAGTTTGTCCCGACCATATTTTCTATACTATTACACCTTAAGTAACCAGATTTGGTATTTTAACTAGCATTACTAGGTTTGGTAAAGGGGTATGTCTTGGCTGGTGGAGTGTGTAGCACAAGAAGTGTGTTACTGTGAACTACATCCTGAGATAGGTATACAGCTCGGGGTATGTCTTGGCTGGTGGAGTGTGGAGTACAAGAAGTGTGTTACTTTGAACTACATCCTGAGATAGGTGTACAGCTCGGGGTATGTCTTAACTGGTGGAGTGTGGAGTACAAGAAGTGTGTTACTGTGAACTACATCCTGAGATAGGTATACAGCTCGGGGTATGTCTTGGCTGGTGGAGTGTGGAGTACAAGAAGTGTGTTACTGTGAACTACATCCTGAGATAGGTGTACAGCTCGGGGTATGTCTTGGCTGGTGGAGTGTGGAGTACAAGAAGTGTGTTACTGTGAACTACATCCTGAGATAGGTATACAGCTCGGGGTATGTCTTGGCTGGTGGAGTGTGGAGTACAAGAAGTGTGTTACTGTGAACTACATCCTGAGATAGGTATACAGCTCGGGGTATGTCTTGGCTGGTGGAGTGTGGAGTACAAGAAGTGTGTTACTGTGAACTACATCCTGAGATAGGTATACAGCTCGGGGTATGTCTTGGCTGGTGGAGTGTGGAGTACAAGAAGTGTGTTACTGTGAACTACATCCTGAGATAGGTGTACAGCTCGGGGTATGTCTTGGCTGGTGGAGTGTGGAGTACAAGAAGTGTGTTACTGTGAACTACATCCTGAGATAGGTATACAGCTCGGGGTATGTCTTGGCTGGTGGAGTGTGGAGTACAAGAAGTGTGTTACTGTGAACTACATCCTGAGATAGGTATACAGCTCGGGGTATGTCTTGGCTGGTGGAGTGTGGAGTACAAGAAGTGTGTTACTGTGAACTACATCCTGAGATAGGTGTACAGCTCGGGGTATGTCTTGGCTGGTGGAGTGTGGAGTACAAGAAGTGTGTTACTGTGAACTACATCCTGAGATAGGTATACAGCTCGGGGTATGTCTTGGCTGGTGGAGTGTGGAGTACAAGAAGTGTGTTACTGTGAACTACATCCTGAGATAGGTGTACAGCTCGGGGTATGTCTTGGCTGGTGGAGTGTGGAGTACAAGAAGTGTGTTACTGTGAACTACATCCTGAGATAGGTATACAGCTCGGGGTATGTCTTGGCTGGTGGAGTGTGGAGTACAAGAAGTGTGTTACTGTGAACTACATCCTGAGATAGGTATACAGCTCGGGGTATGTCTTGGCTGGTGGAGTGTGGAGTACAAGAAGTGTGTTACTGTGAACTACATCCTGAGATAGGTATACAGCTCGGGGTATGTCTTGGCTGGTGGAGTGTGGAGTACAAGAAGTGTGTTACTGTGAACTACATCCTGAGATAGGTATACAGCTCGGGGTATGTCTTGGCTGGTGGAGTGTGGAGTACAAGAAGTGTGTTACTGTGAACTACATCCTGAGATAGGTATACAGCTCGGGGTATGTCTTGGCTGGTGGAGTGTGGAGTACAAGAAGTGTGTTACTGTGAACTACATCCTGAGATAGGTATACAGCTCGGGGTATGTCTTGGCTGGTGGAGTGTGGAGTACAAGAAGTGTGTTACTGTGAACTACATCCTGAGATAGGTATACAGCTCGGGGTATGTCTTGGCTGGTGGAGTGTGGAGTACAAGAAGTGTGTTACTGTGAACTACATCCTGAGATAGGTATACAGCTCGGGGTATGTCTTGGCTGGTGGAGTGTGGAGTACAAGAAGTGTGTTACTGTGAACTACATCCTGAGATAGGTGTACAGCTCGGGGTATGTCTTGGCTGGTGGAGTGTGGAGTACAAGAAGTGTGTTACTGTGAACTACATCCTGAGATAGGTATACAGCTCGGGGTATGTCTTGGCTGGTGGAGTGTGGAGTACAAGAAGTGTGTTACTGTGAACTACATCCTGAGATAGGTGTACAGCTCGGGGTATGTCTTGGCTGGTGGAGTATGGAGTACAAGAAGTGTGTTACTTTGAACTACATCCTGAGATAGGTGTACAGCTCGGTCAATATAGAAATCATCACTGGTGGGGGACTATGGATTGCAGCCTTCAATACTTTGCCTTGGTTGTGATGTACTTACATCATCATCTTTTAATCTGTCATCTTCATGTTCTTGTGCCTTGATTACCTGCCTATGTGAATTTAAAAAATTAATACAATATTTTTTCGACAGGATTTAGGGCTTATTTTCCATACATTTATATTTTCGCCAAGCTTTTGTAAAGGTAGTTCCAATCAAAATGTTTCCTGTGCATCAAATAGGATATTATTTTTGTATTAACACAAAGTTAGCTTGTAACAATATACAAAGGTTCAGCAATGCAATACATTTATGTCTTTACTTCCCAATCGTTTATCCTTGGAAACCTTGGTGAAATACTTGAATAAATAACATGTCAATTAGAATATTGTAATTGCAGGGCTTGCCAATTGACCGGACTCCACTGTACTGAGATATAGATTGTACTGTAATCTTTCATTCAATATTTATGTTATTAACGGTTAGTTGTCGAGTAAAAATGTTTTTACAAATCCAGGGAATGGTTTCAGCACATCTTTGTAACTGTTTATACCACATATACAATACTGATGTGGTGTAGCCTGACCCTCTGGGTGGATGTGATGTTGGACATTTATAAATACCAGGTCTGAAGCTGTCTATTAAATGTACAGTAAAACCTGACATTAAAGACATGTTGTGACAATCTTAAGTGTGATGGCAGTGAGTAATAATTGATATCTCGATGGCGTGAGAGTGTGTGTCGTCTGTTACATAAGTAAGGCACAGTGCAATATATTTAATAGGATATTTGTGGATATCTGTTCATTTACAATATTACATTAAAATTTTATAGAGCAACAAATAATGTCAGTTTTGGTTTCATATCTTTTTAAAAATGTCTTTGTACTTTTTATATTAAGCCTGAAAAAATCAGGTGAACACTATGTGGTCAGTGAGGTGATGACTTTACCATGGACGTAAAGCCTGTCTATAGAGGCATTCTAAATCATTGTATGTATTATGTATACCACAAATAATTAAACCTTAAGCTTGCTAAAACACTTAGAACTTCCTAAGCCATGCTGATTGGTAGGGATAACACTGGTCACAGATGTGGTGACCTGATATAACAGTTACTGGTTATAGGTAGGGATAACACTGGTCGCAGATGTGGTGACCTGATGTAACAGTTACTGATTATAGGTAGGGATAACACTGGTCACGGATGTGGTGACCTGATATAACAGTTACTGATTATAGGTAGGGATAACACTGGTCCCAGATGTGGTGACCTGATATAACAGTTACTGGTTATAGGTAGGGATAACACTGGTCACAGATGTGTTGACCTGATATAACAGTTACTGATTATAGGTAGGGATAACACTGGTCCCAGATGTGGTGACCTGATATAACAGTTACTGGTTATAGGTAGGGATAACACTGGTCACAGATGTGGTTACCTGATATAACAGTTACTGATTATAGGTAGGGATAACACTGGTCCCAGATGTGGTGACCTGATATAACAGTTACTGGTTATAGGTAGGGATAACACTGGTCGCAGATGTGGTGACCTGATGTAACAGTTACTGATTATAGGTAGGGATAACACTGGTCCCAGATGTGGTGACCTGATATAACAGTTACTGGTTATAGGTAGGGATAACACTGGTCGCAGATGTGGTGACCTGATATAACAGTTCCTGATTATAGGTAGGGATAACACTGGTCCCAGATGTGGTGACCTGATATAACAGTTACTGGTTATAGGTAGGGATAACACTGGTCACAGATGTGTTGACCTGATATAACAGTTCCTTATTATAGGTAGGGATAACACTGGTCACAGATGTAGTGACCTGATATAACAGTTCCTGATTATAGGTAGGGATAACACTGGTCACAGATGTGTTGACCTGATATAACAGTTCCTTATTATAGGTAGGGATAACACTGGTCACAGATGTGTTGACCTGATATAACAGTTCCTTATTATAGGTAGGGATAACACTGGTCACAGATGTGGTGACCTCATATAACAGTTACTGATTATAGGTAGGGATAACACTGGTCCCAGATGTGGTGACCTGATATAACAGTTACTGGTTATAGGTAGGGATAACACTGGTCACAGATGTGGTTACCTGATATAACAGTTACTGATTATAGGTAGGGATAAAACTGGTCACAGATGTGGTGACCTGATGTAACAGTTACTGATTATAGGTAGGGATAACACTGGTCCCAGATGTGGTGACCTGATATAACAGTTACTGGTTATAGGTAGGGATAACACTGGTCACAGATGTGGTGACCTGATATAACAGTTACTGATATATCTGAGACAATTGCTGACATTTTGATATAACTTGTGATAAGCCTTTTCGTACCTTTTAACAGACTCTTTATTAGGGCTAGACTCCAGTCTCTCTGATACAGCAACCGAGGTCTGGGGTTTGTTATATTACTGTATTCTGTAAGTATTTATGGTCTTTCATTCTATATTTTGAAATGCAAGAGACTTGGACAGTAGATGATGTTTTACATTTTTACATTAGATACAACATGAAATATTAGTTACCAATATTTCTGCATTTTGTTACAAATATAATAAACTGTATTCACAATAAAAGTGGAGTTTTTTTCCAAATCAATGTAGGTTTTATCTCTGCTGTTATCTTTAGTATAACTTTGTTAGACATCCAAAAAAATCACCACGAGGGTTGGAGATTACTCTGTTACACCCTCAATGTAGGGGATGATTATTTTTCTCCCATCCTATTGTTTCAGTCACAACTCCACTGACAGCAGCGTAAAAAAAAACATGTGGGGTTTGAATATCCTGATTCACTTCTGATGACGTCACAATTACCGATGACGCATTTTAATGACGTCACATCTGAACACATGCTTATCGGCACGAGGCTGTCTCCCCCTAGGGGGTGACAAGCTGATCTTTTCCGGCTAAAACGGGAGACACACCTGTGAAGGGTGTGGGAAATTGATATCTGCACCTGATTAGATTTTGATGAATATTAGTAAAGGATAAAAATTAAAAAGTCATTGAATCTCACAGACCTCTTTATCTCACAGACCTCTATATCTCACGGACCTCTTTATCACACAGACCTCTATATCTCATAGATCTCTTTATCTCACAGACCTCTTTATTTCACAGACCTCTTTATCTCACAGACCTCTATATCTCACAGACCTCTATATCTCTCAGACCTCTTTATCTCTCAGACCTCTTTATCTCGCAGACCAAGATATCTCACATACCTCTTAATCTCACAGACCTCTTTATCTCAAAGACCTCTATATCTCATAGATCTCTTTATTAGGTCACCTGAGACAAAGTCTCAAGTGACCTATTGCGATCGCCTTTTGTCCGTCGTCGTCCGTCGTGCGTCCGTAAACAATTTACATTTTCGACTTCTTCTCCAAAACCCCTGAACCAATTTCAATGAAATTTTGCAGGGACCTTCCATGGACAAAGGTCAACAAAA